ATTACACTCAACGACTTGGTCTCCACAGCTCAATATGGCAATGAGTTCTACAAATTAAATACCCTCTGGCTGAAGAAATTCCCTCACATTTCAGTCCGAAAGGGTCATCCCTTCACTCTGAGACTGTGCCCTCGGGTGCCAGTTTCTCCTATTAGTGGAAACATCTTTGTCATGTCCATTCTATCCAGGCCTCTAGTATTCTGTAAGTTTCAATCATCACAAGGTCTGAAGTGGGGATGTTTGGCAATGACTGCACAAAGTTCAGCACCATTCGGAACTCCTCAGATACTGAAGCAGTCCGTATTCAAATACAGCAAGAATTTGACAATATCCAGGCTGACAAGTGGCAAGTAACATTTGCACCATTCAAATGCCAGGTAGTGACCGTTTCCAATAAGAGACAATCTAATTGCAATCTAATTTTCTAAAGAAGGGTCTAGGCCTGAAACGTCAGCCTTCCTGCTCCTCTGATGCTGCTTGGCCTGTGTTCATCCAGCTCTACACCTTGTTATCTCACAATCTAATTGTTGTCCTTTGACCTTAAATAAAATCACCATTGCTGAATCCTCCACCACAATCATGGGGATCATCACTGACCAGAAAATGTACTGGAACAGCCATATAAATGCTATGGCTAAAAGGGTAGATTGAAAGTTGGGACTCCCCAAAGCCTGTCCACAATCTTCAACGCACGAGTCAGGAGTGTAATGGGATACTCCACACTTGCTTGGATGGGGGCAGCTCCAACAGCATTAAAGCAGCTTGACACCATCCATGAGAAAAAGCCTATTTGACTGGCACCACATCCACAAACATTCACTTCACCGATGCTCAGTGGCAGTAGTGTGTACCACCTACAAATGCACTGCAGTAAGTCAACGAGGCTCCTTGAACTGCACATTGCAAACCATGAACTTTACCACCTAGAAGGTCAATAGCAGCAGATATAGGAGAACACCACCACCTGCAAGTTCCCATCCAAGCCACTCAGTATTCTGACTTACAAAGATATCATCTTTCGTTCAATGTTACTGGGCTAAATGGTAACATAGCTAAAGGACTTGATTGCTAATGTGAAATAGACTGTATAAATGAATGGGACTTTTTGGGTTGTCATACTGTAACTAGTGGACTGCCGCAGTGATCATGACTGTGGCCTCATCTACTATAGTCTTTATGAATGCTTTGCATGAGGAGACTGAATAGTATGATGGCTGAATTTGTCAATGTCATAAAAATATGTAAAAGTAAATTGTCAAGAGAAGGTACAGTGGATTCAAAGGGGTACATGAGAGTGAGAAAAAATTGGCAGATTGCATATAAGGAATAAATAACATGAATAACTATGTTTCCATTTTGGCAGGAAGAATAGAAAAGCAGGAAACATCTTGTTATATAAATTGAAATAAATTGCAGAACTTAGCAGTACAGAGGGATCTGAGTGTCCTGGTATCTGAATCACTCAAGTTTAGTTAGTAACTACAGCAAGTGATTAGGAAGCAAATGGAATGTTGGCCATTATTGCAAGGGAAATTGAATATAAAATTAGAGTTTTTTTTACTGTCGCCGCACTGAGCCTTAGTGAGACCACATCTGGAGTACTCTGCACAGTTTTGGTCTCCTTATTTAAAAAAATATGTCTTAGAAGTAGTTTGGAGTAGGTTCACTTGACTGATTCCACAGGTGAAGGGGTTTGTCTTATCAGGAAAGGTTGAACAGATTGGGTCTATACCCTTAGATATACCCCACTGGCCTCATCCCACATCCAACCCTCCCTCTCATCCCTGCCTCCTTGACCTGAAACAACCTGTCCATCTTCTCTCCCACCTATCCGCCCCGCCTATCCCACTAACCAATCCCCACCACTCCCTACCTGCACTCACCTATCACCATCCCATGTACCTTCCCCAGCCCCACCCCTCCTCTCTATTTATTTCCTAGCTCCCTTCTCCTCACGATTTCTGAAGAAGTGTCCCGACCCGAAACGCCAACTTTTCTGCTCCTCTGGCCTGCTGTGTTCCTCCAGCTCCATACTGTGTTGTCTCTGGCTCTTTACCCATTGTACTTTAAAAGAATGTTGAGATGATCTTGAAACACAGAAGATCCTGTGAGGACTATGTACAGTGGATGCCAGGAGAATTTTCTTCTCAAGGGGGAGACTAAATCTAGGAGACATCATGTACAAATTAGAGGCCTCTCTCTTAAGATAGAGATGAGTTTTTTTTTTCCTCAGACCCTTGCAAGAGAGTGGAATTCTCTTCCCCAGAAAGAATTGCAGTCTGGATCACTGAATATATCCCGCTGAGTTAGACAGATTTTTGACAGACAGGGAGAATCATGGGATAAGTAGGCTGCAGACAGGTAAGTAGTGTTGGGACCACAACAAGAGCAGCCAGAGCAGTTTACATGAGTAGACTCGAAGATCCAAATAGCCATGTTCCTATGTTGCCTGGTACAGCTTTGGTTAGGTACAGATTAAACATCCCTCTACTCTTTTAAACTGAAAGTAAAGCATCCTCCACATTGTCCCCATCAAACACTCCCTGGACAGGGACAGCACGGAGTTAGATACACAGTAAAGCTTCCTCTACACTGTCCCCATCAAACACTGCCACAAAGTCGAGTTTAAAACACAGCAAGATTTTTTTTGTACTCAACAACAGATTTTAACTTTATTCACAGAAGACAAACTTCACTCCAATGTTCCAGTTGTCGGTTTTGCTTTTTTAATTAATTCATTAATGGGACGTGGACATCACTAACCAGGCACCTATTTATTTCCCATCCCTAATCACACAGAGGGTAATTAAGAGTCAACCATGTTGCCATGAGTCTGGACTCACATGTAGGCCAAACCAGATAAGGATACCAGATTTCCCTCTCTGAAGGACTTAGTGAACTAGATGGACTTTTCCTGACAACTAGCAATGGTTTCATGGTCATCATCAGACTCTTAATCCCAGATTTTTTATTGAATTCAAATTGCACCATCTGCCATGGCAGGATTTGAACCTAGGTCTCCAGGACATTATCTGGGTTTGTGGATTAATAGTCTAGCAATAAGATCGCGAGGCCATTGTCTCCCCGAAGCTTTACAGCCCTTAGAAATAATTGTCCACTGAAAGCTATCTACTCATATCAACATGTAATTCCAAACTGCGGATACAGAGACGTATTAGTATTTTATTTGAAAATGGCCTCAGGTACAGATTAGAAAGGACATGTTAAATCATTCTTCATCATTTAATTGTACCATCTCTCACTGATAACCTGTGGGACTGATCAAATCACCCCTTATTAGTTGAGAAATGTTGTTTATCTATACTGTGTGCCATTCAGTGCAATTGCATATATTTGCACAATTCTGTTGCTTATCCTGGCTGCAAAGATAGAATAGTAGAAGTGGTAATCTGATGGAAATATCATGGGCCACAGATCATTCTCATTGCTTAAGGTTTAATTTTATAAAACAGAAAGGCGGCCATGGATTACAGTGCAGATCATCTGATGAGACAAACTCGAATAAAGGGCTTTATTTCCTTTATTCTTGCAGGTGATATAAGTGTCAATGGCAGCATTTGTTGCCCATCACTAATTGCCCTGGAATTAAGTGGCTTGCTCAGCTAGCTTAGGAAGGCAGTTAAGAGTCCAGCGAAACCTTTCTTTTAAATTCTTTCGTGGGTGTCACAGGCACGATCAACAACTCCTCTTCCCTGCCTCCTCTATTTACTACAGCAATTACCTTTCCCCGACCACAGCCTATAACCCTCTACTCTCTCAATAGTCAAAACTCTGTCAAACTCAGTCTCAACTATATTCAATGGCCCAATCTCCACTGCTCATGTAGAGAGTTTGGTGAATTCCAAAGGTTAATGCCCCTCTGAATAAAGAAATTTCCTCCTCATCTCAATCTGAAATGGGAACTCTCCTCCCTTATTTTTAACCTGTGCCCCACAGAAAAACAACTTTTCAGTGTCTAACGTTTCAAATCACTTCAGGGCCTTATTTGTTCCAGTAAGACCAGTTCTCATTCTTTCAAACTACAGTAAGTATAAAGTCAACTGTTCAACTTTTCCTCAAAAAATAAGAGAATGTCACTACTAATCCAGAGACCCAGACCAATATTTTGGGATATGAATTGTGTTCCAACCACTATAATTGGTACAATTCAAATTAAATTCTTAACTTTGGAACTGAAAGCTCATCTCAGTGGTGGTGACCATGAAGCCAATGACAATGTCATAAAGAAGCATCTGGTTCACTGACATCATTTAGTGAGGGAAATCTGCCATCCTTATCTGGTCTGGCTTGCATGTGACTCTAGACCCTCTTCAGTATGGGTGACTCTGCCCTCTGAATTGGCCAAGCAAGTCACTGAAATGCTGGCCTTGCCAGTGACATCTCAAAGAGGGAAGAATGGCTGCTGAAGTAATTGTGTAAATTGTAGACTAAAGGCTAGGAGGCAATTAAAAGTTTGAGGTGTTAACAAGGAGGGTCAGTATGTGAGGGTCAGCTTTTTCGATGGATTTGGATTTTAGCAAGTTTTTTGTTTATTTGGCAGGCTGTTAAAAAAATTAACTGAAGTGCTAAATTGAATTGCAAATTAGTTCAGTTGCAAAAAACAAAGCGACTGATAGGTGTTTTTGTGACTGGAAAACTATATCCGGTGGGGCTCTGTAGTGCTCTGTAATGGGTTCCCTGCTTTTCAAGGCGCATAACAATTATTTCTCAAAATGCGTTTGCAAAAATGTTTGCAGATGATATGAAAATTGACCATGTGATTGATAGTCAGCAGAGAAATTAACAGAATGATCCGGCAGGCAGACAAATAGCAAGTTGAATTCAAACCCAGAGAAGTTTTTGTTAATTCATTCTTTAAATGTGGTATCGCTGGCTAGAACAGCATCCCTAATTGCCCAGATGGTGGTTAAGAGTCAACCACATTTCTGTGGGTCTGGAGTCACACATAGGCCAAACCAAGTAAAGTTGGCAGATTTCCTTCCTTCTTTTAAGGACGTTAGCAGATGCAGGATTTTTACAACAGTCAACAATAGACTAGCTTTTCCTTTCCAGATTTTTACTGAATTTCTTCCATGTTTTTACTGAATTCAGATAACACCATCTGCCATGGTGGGATTCAAATCCTTGTCCTCAGAACATTAGCCTGAGGTTCTGGATTACTAGACTGATGACATTTCCATTCTATCACCACCTCCACCAGGAGCTGGGGAAAGGTAAGACAAGGAAATTCATGATAAATGGTAGAAAACAGAGAGAGTAATGCATATAGTTCTGATCACTGTATTCCAGGAAGGATGTGATCACACTCGAAATGGTATAGGAGATTTTTAATGATGCCGCTAAGACTGGAGATATCAGCGATGAGGAAAGATTGGAGAAGCTGGCATTGTTCTCCTTCAAACAGAGGAGGCTAAGGGGTGATTTGTTTGAGGTGGATGAAGTGTTGACTGGCCTAAATAGAGTGGATTGGAAGGGCCTATTTCCATTAGCAGAGAAGTCAATAGCCAAGTGGCAAGGATCTAAATAATTGAAGGATGAATTGGAAATAATTATTTTCACCCAGAAGCTGGTGGGAATCTGGTACTCATTTCCTGAAAGGGTGATAGAAGCAGAAACCCTTATCATGTTAAAATATATTCTATGTGTACTTGAGGTACCCTAACCTCCGGGGCTATAGACCGGGAACTGGAAAGTTGATGAAGTTGCATAGCACTTTTACAGTTGGTAGAAATACAATTGGCTGAATGGTCTTCTTCTGCACCTTAAATTTTTCAATTTTCTATGAAAATTAAAACAGGAATCCGTGTTTCTCTCATATAAACAGTCCCTTCACTTAAACAAATCAACTAATTCTCTTGAACATCACAAGTTACTAGGGCTGCAAAAATCAGTAACATGAAAAGCACCAATGTATCGTTATCGAGTCTTACCCCTTTGTATAAAAGAATCTCAGTCTCCTTTGTTCTGTCACATTCTGATAGTTTCCAACACTCCACCTGCACGTAAAGGTCTCCTGTTCTGGTGAGCGACATTCTGTTATCCTTGGCCTTTCCAAAGGGACTGGAACAGAGAAGAGAGGCACATTGGCAATAGTGCAATATATTAGAAAGTACTGTAACTACATACTGACAATATAATTTACCTGATTCCTCAGACATATAACAGCACACATCTGTTTGTAAACATAAAGAATAACTGAACATGCAAATAGTGGATTTAATCCTGGAGCTGTGTCCTGCATTCACTCTGTAAAGCAAGATTTGGTCATTGTATCAGCTGTTTTCTGATAAACAAGTCACTAATGTGTCAATTTCAAAAGGAAAGCCCTCAATACACCATCAGTTTTAATTTCATCCCTACCTGAGTTAAGCCTTGTTTTCTCCCAGTGCTTGACCCACTGCTAAAAAACATTTTTACACATTGTAAAACTGTTTTACACATGCCAGCTGTACTAGGGTATCTCATCCTTAGCACTCATTCCTGTAGCAGGGGAATGGGGAGAAGACTTGCCTTGTTCAGTTGATCTTTTCTCTATCTTTTGAAAATCTCTTTCAGATCAGGAAACTGAGAAGGGGAGAGGGTGGCCTGCTCTCTGAAGGGAGAGTGCACGCTGCAAACAGATTTTGGAGAATACGAGATTCCATTCAGAATAGAAATCTCAAGACTCTCTTTTCTAGACATGGTTTAATCAATATTTTGTTTTTAAAACTCAACTCACCTTCTACTGATTGTGACGCTGGAAGGAACACTTTTAAAATGTTGCTGAATTCGCTGAAATTGCCTATGTTGGGATATATGCTACGGATTCGGACCACATACTCCTTCCCTGTTGCAAAGTTGTAGAGTGGCTGTGGTGGATGCTGGTGTGGCAAAGTTTTAATCTGTGAAGACAGGGCAATTCAGCAAAGGATATAGTGTCAACTTTGTTACAGGAAACAAGCTGAATCAAGAAGACAGCAAAAGAACAGGACTTGGAAAACATATGTTATCTAGCACTAACCCTTGTCAACATTCATTCCATTTTGATGAACGAAAAGCAAAAAGATATCTAAATGTTCTAGAATAAACATCAATACCATACACATAGGTCCAGTCATGGTCATGGAACGCTTGAATGTTCAGGCTCTCCTTACTTATCTGATCTTCTAGGGGACATAACTAAAAGCTGATGACCTTGAAATAACATCTGACCACCCTACCGAGAACTAAAATTTAATGTAAAATGAAAATTGGCATTCTAACTGACTAGATGTGTGGCTCCAAATGTTACACTTTCTTTGCTTTAAAATGAGAACCAGTATAATTGTTGTAGGGAGTTCTCAATGAATGGCAGGATGCCAGGAAGTTCACAGAAACAGGGATCTTGGGGTGCTTGCCCACAAATCCCTTAAGGTGTCAAGACAGGTTAATTAGGGTAGTTAAGAAGACATACTGGACACTTGCCCTTTTTTTTATTCATTCACGGGATGAGGGCTTCACTGGCTAGGTGGCATTTACTGCCCATCACTAATTGCCCAGAGAGCAGTTATCAGTCAGTGCATAGATTATAAGAGCAGGGAGGTTATGGTGGAGATGTACAGGACTTTGGTCAGGCCACAGCTGGAGCACTGTGTCCAGTTCTCGTCACCGCACTATAGGAAGGATGTGATTGCACTGGAGGGGGTGCAAAAGAAATTTACCAGGATGTTGCTGGGGATGGAGCAGTTTATCTATGAAGAGAGGCTGGATAAGCTCAGGTTTTTTTTGGAACAGAGAAGGTTGAGTGAGAACCTGATAGATGTGTATAAGAAAATGAACAGCATTTTTTATTCACGTGATAGACATGGCATTGCTGCCTAGCCAGCATTTCTTGCCTATTCCTAGTTGCCCTTGTGAAGGTGGTGGTGAGCTACTTCCTTGAACCTCTGCAGACTGTGTGCTGTAGGTAGACCCACAATGCCATTAGGGAGGGAATTCCAGGATTTTGACCCAGCGACACTGCAGAAACGGTGATATATTTCCAGGTCAGGATGGTGAATGGCTTGGAGGTGAACATGCAAGGCATGGTGTTCCCATGTATATGCTGCTCTTGTCCTTGTAGAAGGAGGTGGTCGTGGGTTTGGAAGGTACTGTCTAAGGATATTTGGTGAATTCCTGCAGTACATCTTGTAGTTAATACACAGTGCTGCTACTGAGCGTCAGTGGTGAAGGGGGTGGGTGCTTGTGGATATGGTGCCAATGAAGCAGACTGCTTTTTCCTGAATAGTATCAATCTACTTGAGTGTTTCTGGAGCTGCACTCATCCAGGAGTATTCCATCACACTCCTGACTTGTGGCTTATAGATGGTGGGCAGGCTTTGGGAAGTCAGGGGGTGAGTTCCTCACTGTGATATTCTGAGCCTCTGACTTGCTCTTGTAGCCACTGTGTTTATGTGGTGAGTCCAGGTGAGTTTCTGGTCAATGATAATCCCCAGGACGTTGATAGTGGGAGCTTCAAAAATGGTAATGCTATTTAATGTAAAGGGGTCATAGCTGGATTGTTTCTTATTGGAGATGGTCGTAGCCCGTAATTTGTATGGCACAAATGTTACTTGCCGCATTTCAGCGCAAGCCTGGATATTGTCCAGATGTTGCTGCATTTGAACATGGACTGCTTCAGTATCTGAGGACTTGCAAATGGTGCTGAACATTGTGCAATCATCAGCGAACATCCCCACTTTGGACCTGATGATAGAGGGAAGGTCATTGATGAGGCAGCTGAAAATGGTTGGGCCTTGACCCCTGGAACTCCTGCAGAGATGTCCTGGAGCTGAGATGACTGAATTCCAACAACCATAACCATCTTCCTATGTGCCAGGTATGACGCCAACCAGCAGAGAGTTTGCCCCCTGATATTCATTGATTCCAGTTTTACTAGGGCTCCTTGATGCCACACTCAGTTGAATGTGACCTTGATGTCAAGGACTCACCTCACTTCTGGAATTCACATCTTTGTCCATGTTTGAACCAAGTAATGAGGTCAGGAGCTGAGTGGCCCTGGCCGAACCCAAACTGGGTGTCACTGAACAGGTTATTGCTGAGCAGGTACTGCTTGATAGCGCTGTTACTGACACCTTCCATCACTTTACTGATGATCGACAGTTGACTGATGGGGCGTTAATTGAATTTGTCCTGCTTTTTGTGTACCTGGGCAATTTTCCACCTTGTCGGGTAAATGCCAATGTTGTAGCTGTACTGGAGCATCTTGGTGAGGAGAGCGGCAAGTTCTGGAGCACAAGTCTTTAGTACCATTGCTGGAATGTCGTCAGGTCCTGTAGCCTTCGTAGTATCCAGTGTCTCTAACAGTTTCTTGATATCTTGTGGAGTGACTCGAATTGTCTGGTGGATAAGAAGCAGCTGTTCCCCTTAATTGAAGGGTCAGTAAGAAGAGGGCATTATTTTAAGCTGAAAGACAGGAGGTTTACAGAGGATTTAAGAATTTTTTTTCACCCAGAGGGCCGTGGGAATCTGGAATGCAATGCATGAGAGGGTAGTTGAGATGGGAAACCTCACTACCTTTAAAAAGTGGGTGGATGAGCGCTTGAAATGTCATAACATTCAAGGCTAAGGGCCGAGTGCTGGAAAGTGGGTTAAATGTAGATAGGTCAGTGCAAACTCGATGAGTTGAAGGGTTTTTTCTGTGCTGTAACACTACTTGATGCTATGACTATTCATTCACATCCACCTTACAGACAACAACCTGAAATTATATAGTGCCTCACTGAAAGATGGCCAATGATATGTTCCTGCAAGTGTTTTCAGACAGAAGCAGACACCATACAAAAGAGGAGGGTGACCAAGAACTTGTATTTTTAAAAATTCATTCACAGTATGTAGGCATCACTGGCATTGCCCATCCCTAATTGTCCAGAGGGCAGTTCAGAGTCTGGATATTGAGTCTCATGTAGGCCAGACTAGGTAAGGACAGCAGGCTTCCTTCTCTAAGGATGTTCGTGAACCTGATGGGTTTTTACAACAATTAACAGTTGTTACATAGTCCATGGGCTGACAAGTTCCTGGGAGCAGTTGGATTTCATGCTAGCATTTTCAAAGAAGTACCTTGTGCAATTGTTGATGCATTCATTCTAACTTACAAAATTTCCCTTGATTTAAAGGTTTGATTAGATTAGAAAATAGCAAATGTAACTCCGTTTTTCAAAAAGAATGTGAGACAGAAAGCAGGACACTATAGGCCAGTTAGCTTAACATCTGTCAGAGAGAAAATGTTAAAAGCTGTTATTAAAGACATGGAAAAATTTAAGTTGGTCAGGCAAAATCCACATGGTTCTGTGGAAAGGAAATTGTGTTTGACTAATTAAGTAGAGTTCTTGGAAGAAATAGGTGCTATGTGCAAAAGAGAACAGTGGATGGACATATGGAGGCTACAAGGGGAGAGGGATAACTCAAATGAGTGGGCTGAGGTCTCAAATATAGGACAATGTAGGAAAATTTGAAATTGTCCATTTTGGCAGGAAGAATTTTTTAAAAAGCATATGACATAAATGGTGATATATTACAGATCTCTGAGATTGAAAGGGGTCTATTTGGATCTGGATGTCCTCATACAGAAGATTAAATGCAAGTACAACAAGTAATTGGGAAAGCTACTGTTATCCTTTGTTACAAAAATATTGAGGTTATGATTCACTTATACAGGGCACTGGTGAGATCACATCTAGAGTACAGTATTGGTCGCCTTATTAAAGGAAGGTGTGAGTGCAAAGAAGCAGCTCAGAGAAGGTTTACCAAACCTGGATATGTTCAGATTGTCTTATGAGCAAAGGATGGACAGGCTGACCCTGTATCTGCTGGAGTTCAGAAGAGCAAGAGATGACTTAATTAAACATTCCTTCCTAAACATGAGAAGGTGATGGTCTAGTGGTATTATCGCTGGACTGTTAATCCAGAGACCCAGATAATGTTCTGGGGACCCGGGTTTGAATCCCGCCTTGGCAGATGGTGGAATTTGAATTCAATAAAATATCTGGAATTAAGAATCTAATAATGACCATGAATCCATTGTCAATTGTTGGAAAAACCCATCTGATTCACTAATGTCCTTTATTAGGGAAGGAAACTGCCATCCTTACCTGGTCTGGCCTACATGTGACTCCAGACCCACAGCAATATGGTTGATTCTTAACTGCCCTCTGGGCAATTAGGGATGGGTAATAAATGCTGCCTAGCCAGTGACGCCCTTTCATCCCGTGAATGAATAAAGAAAATAAACAATCCTGAGGGGACTTGGATGTGGAGCGAATGTTTCATCTTACGGGAGAATACACAACCAGGGGTCACTTTTTAAAAATCACTGGTCATCAACTTAAAACAGCAGTGAGGTGAATTTTTTTCACAGAGGGTCATGAGGCTTTGGAACTGTCTTCCTGAAAAAGCAGTGTGAACAAAGTCCTTGAATATTTTTAAAGCAGAGCTAGATAGATATAACACAGTGTGAAGCTGGAGGACAGCAGGCCAGGCAAGGAGCAGGAAAGCTGACATTTTGGGTCGGGACCCTTCTTCAGAAATGGGGGAGGAGGAAGGGAGCTCTGAAATAAATAGAGAGAGGAGGGGTGGGGCTGCAGAAGGTAGGTGGGATGGTGATAGGTGAGTGCAGGTAGGCAGTGGTGGAGATTGGTCAGTGAGGGGGAAGGAGTGGATAGGTGGGAGAGAAGACGACAGGTCAAGGAGGTGGGGATGAGAGGGAGGGTTGGTCATGGGATGAGGCCAGGGGTGGGGAGATTTTGAAACTAGTAAAGTCCACATTGAAACCACTGGGTTGTAGGCTTCCAAGGCGGAATAGGAGGTGCTGCTCCTCCAGTTTCCGGATGGCGTCGTTGTGACACTGGAGGAGGCCCAGGATGGA